AGACCGGCAGATCCGCGGTCCGATCTCATGCCGACCGTTACCCCGACCGCAAAAACGCGGGAACGCCGCTCAAGTGGAATAGGCCCAGCTTCAGTTTATGCCTATACAAATACGCTACCAATATACATTAAAGATGCATGCAAATATATGTCAGTCTTATGAATGCCGAACTTTAACGTCGTCGTAAACGTCACGGCGCATTTTGCTGTCGTTACTGGCCCGGCGCCGGCCGCTCGGTAACTGCATAATCCTACCTCGGCACGTCAGGCGGGCCCGTGGAAGGCTCCCGAAACACACCGGCTGCTGATATTCCGGGATAACCTTGCCAGTCCGGACCGGCCTTCGCAATGCCAGGCCATGCTCGCATCTGAATTACCAGCACCGTTGGCAATCGTTAACAACCTGGCTGGTGCATGTGAAGCTGAAAACATTATAAATAGCAGCCTGCAACAGGTATCTGTGCAGTTAAGATGGCGTGCCAATAAATTTCCTCGAGCCTTTTGACACTGGTTCGATAAGAAAGGACCATGCTCATATGACGTGCAGCTGTCAGACTGATGTCTCCAGTCTGACAAAATGAAAAAAATGCGCCGTTATATGTCATCATTCGCTGATATCGACGGCATGCGTACCGTGCCGAACTCGCTGTTGTGGAGACAGGCACCATTTCTGAGACAAATGGATGTGACCTCTGACGTCATCTGTGAAGTGCAATAATCGCTTTAACTGCGAGTGCATGGCCAAAATGACGTCAGGTGAGAAACCTGACGGAGTAATTGACGCGTCTCGACACAGTCGTCTCCAGCGACCTTGATGCGTCTACCCAAGTGATGTCCGTCCTATTGTCCTGCAGCAAGCCCAATCTATTACGGTGTCTTCTGCGGCCGGGAGGCGTTCTGGACACGAGGGGCCTTACTCGCGTCACGTCCCCGGACAGCCCGAGCGACACCGACCCGCTGCGTGGCAGGCCGGGCGGGCAGGGGCACACACACGCCTGCCCGCGGTGACCCGAGGCCGGCACGGCGGCGGCGGCGGTGACGTGTGTGACAGACCGCGGGACGGTGCCGGCGGTGGCGGACAGGATCCCGCCGCGGCCCGGACCGACACCGGCGCCGCAGCGGAGCGGGAGGTGAGCCGAGCTGGCACGGCTGCGGCGGCGGCGGCGGCGGCGTGTACCAACAGACGGCGGGACGGTGCCGGCAGCGGCGGACAGGATCCCGCCGCGGCCCGGACCGACACCGGCGCCGCAGCGGAGCGGGAGGTGAGCCGAGCTCGCACGGCTGCGGCGGCGGCGGCGGCGGCGTGTACCAACAGACGGCGGGACGGTGCCGGCAGCGACGGACAGGATCCCACCGCGGCCCGGACCGATACCGGCGCCGCCGCGGAGCAGGAGGTGAGCCGAGCTCGCACGGCTATTGTGGCTAGCGACGTCTCTGGCCCAACGCCACGCTCCCATGCCCAGATTCAAACCTTGCGGGTTTGCGGGGAGAGCAAAAATGTGAATGGGGAGTGTGTCACGTCTAGTAAACGGCGAATGAACCGTGTGAACGGTGCCGTACCAACACCAGCCAAGATGCACAAATAGCAACAAATGGCTGACGGGGGTTGACTAGCACCGGCGCTGGTTTTCCATGTATTCATTGAAGAATGGCTGCGTGCCTGCTGTTCTGGTACCGTGGTACCAGAACAGCAGTGGTACCGCCACAGTCCTGATGTCGCTCTCCTCATGTCCGTTAGTGTCACCGATATTAATAGTGCCAATTCAGCGCCGGCTGCCGAAGCCTTGGCACCAAAATCCTGCATTCCCAGCGGGTACATTTTTTCGCAAACACATACGGCTGTCTCAGCCTCACTTTGTACTTACGCGTCTGCGTATGGGCAGACTCGCGAGCGCATGCGCACTGTGTGTGTGAGCGCCTGTGCACCCGCCACGCGGTGCCACGCGGTGCAGAGCGGAGTCTGGCGCCGCTGCCCGCCGGGGGGAGGGGAGGAGGGGGCTGACCTGCACCAGATCGGGCTGCAGCGGGGCGGCGAAGTGTTGCCAGTCCAGCAGCTGGTCCATACCGGCCAGGCGACGGCCCGAGCCGGCCTCCGACGGGCCCGCTGCCGACCAGAGGCGCATGCGCAGTGTTAGCCCAGTGCCGTGGTCTGCGAAGCAGTTAACATTACGGCCAGTGCCAGGTCTGCTCGGAATCAGTCCGAGGTTAGCTTGAGCTCATCACTGGCCGGCCAGCTTGAGGTCAGTGTCCGATCAGATCAGGGGCCATGTCAGGCCAGCGCCGGGTCAGCCCAGTGACCGATCAGGCTCGTGCGAGGTCAGTGTCCGGTCAGATCAGGGGCCATGTCAGGTCAGCGCCGGGTCAGCCCAGTGACCGATCAGGCTCGTGCGAGGTCAGCGTCCGGTCAGGGGCCATGTCAGGTCAGCGCCGGGTCAGCCCAGTGACCGATCAGGCTGGTGCGAGGTCAGTGTCCGGTCAGATCAGGGGCCATGTCAGGCCAGCGCCGGGTCAGCCCAGTGACCGATCAGGCTGGTGCGAGGTCAGTGTCCGGTCAGATCAGGGGCCATGTCAGGTCAGCGCCGGGTCAGCCCAGTGACCGATCACACTGGTGCGAGGTCGGTGTTCGCCGACACGCTCGAAACGGACGCAGTGGTGCGCAACATGCAGACACGCTTCAATAGGTTCACATGACGGACGACAGGGACGACACCTGCCGGTGAATGTACAAACAAGCCAGAGAGAGACGCCAATCGTCCGAAGCGGCGCCTGGCACCTCTAGGAGGGTGCTTTATCCGGTACTGACCAAACACGCACGGACGTGCCTCTCCGGCCGAGGGGACGGGGGAGGGGGGAGTCGAGCCAGCGCTATCCAGGCGACTGACCTAGCTGGCAGGGCCGCTGGAGCGGCTGCTCGGCGGCAGGGGCCGACACCGGGCACGGCCCGCCGGCCAGGTCACACCCGCACGAGAGCAGATCGTGCGTGCAGCATTCGGCGTCCTCCTCCAGCGAGAACAGGTCCTGGCAGCAGCGCAGCGCCGCCACCGGTCAGCGGATACCCTCGGTGAGAGGGAGGCTTGACAATACTCAGACGCGGTACAGCAGGTAACGGAAACGTAGGCAAAGGAGAACACAGCAGAATAGCACAGCACGACACGTCAGTCAGCTTAAGACAAAACAAGAAATCACAATAACTTTCCTGTCGGACGGCCCGTGCTACATTGCTTCGGAGATGGTGATGAAATAGCTCCACGCGGCGCTACATCCCACAACGTGAGGACAACCGGAGACTTTGACACGCTTCGGAGGACACAGCTCGACAGTACGAGAGGAGTGCTGGCAGCACAGCAACGCTCAACCAAACCACCAACGCTCCAGCACCGTCGTCCAGTGACACTGCGGAGCGCGCGGCCGGCGCGGCGCCGCCGCCCGGCCCGCGACCGCCTGTCCGTCCGTCCCCAGCCGGCGCCGGCGCCGGCGCGTGCCCCGCGGCGTCGCTCACTGACCCGCAGCTCGTCTCGGCTGAAGTGGGCGGCGGAGCGCTGGTCGGCGTCCACCACGGCCGCGCTCAGGCCCTGCTTGCTGACCTGGCGCTGGTAGATCTTCTCCTCGATGGTGCCCGTCGTTAGCAGTCTGGCCCAGCCGAGGCGACGCGGTCAGCGGAGACACGCGACATGGCGACGGCGCCCAGCAGACACGCTCAGCACAGCGAGAACAGCAGAAACGTACAGCATAGAGAAAATAACAGACACGCTCAGCACAGCGAGAACAGCAGACACGCTCAGCACAGCCAGAACAGCAGACACGCTCGGCACGGTGAGAACAGCAGGCATGCTCAGCACGGTGAGAACAGCAGACATGCTCAGCACAACAAGAACAGCACACATGCTCAGCACGGTGAGAACAGCAGACACGCAGCACAGCGGAAACAGACACACTCAGCACAGCGAGAACAGTAGACAGATACTAACCCACCACAGTCGGCGTTCAGGAAACACAGTACAGATGAGACAGAAAGGGCAATCACCGACTAAACGCAGCCAACAGTCAGAAAACACATCACATCTAAGGAAAAACAGCGGACGAAAGTACCGTGGTTACCTTTTCAAAACTAGGTTGATTCCCAATGACTTGCATGGGTAACTTTGGGTTCAGAATACTTGTCAAGCATAGCTTGTTGCGTGTACCCTGAACCCACCACCCAAGTCGTGCCATCCAATTCAACGGGTTTCCAAGCAGAAATGCGGAGGGTTTACGTGCCATACAATACTGCGACACGGCCATTCCGGCCCTGGGTTGACCCTCGTTGGCAAAATGCCGCCTGACTTTTCCATATCAGCCGGGCCAAACAATGCGCCTGCTCTGGGACTCGCACCCAGTGCCGCCGGATTACGACTCCAGCGTCATTTTCCCTAGACCACGAAGACGGCAAAACAAGTCACGAATGTACTAACTGCTTACGTAACGCGGATGGGATAGGTTCCCAACACTCGGCTTCCAACAATCGGATTACACAAAACGAACTCAACCAATGCAAGACATGAGCACACCTTTCCTATTCGAATTGCTGTCTGCTCGTTCCGATCAGAGCCGGCGCATGCCCCGCACACCACCGCCTCCGCCCGGCCCGGTCAGAGCCGACGCATGCCCCGCACACCACAGTCTCCGCCCGGTCCGGTCAGAGCCGGCGTATGCACCGCACACCGCCGTATCCGTCCGGTCCGGTCAGAGCCGGCGCATGCCCCGCACACCACAGTCTCCGTCCGGTCCGGTCAGAGCCGGCGCATGCCCCGCACACCGCCGTCTCCGTCCGGTCCGATCAGAGCCGGCGCATGTCCGGCACACCACCACCTCCGTCCGGTCCGATCAGAGCCGGCGCATGCCCCGCACACCACGGCCTCTGTCCGGTCCGATCAGAGCCGGTGCATGCCCCGCACACCACAGTCTCCGCCCGGTCCGGTCAGAGCCGGCGCATGCCCCGCACACCACGGCCTCTGTCCGGTCCGATCAGAGCCGGCGCATGCCCCGCACACCGCCGTCTCTGTCCAGTCCGATCAGAGCCGGCGCATGCCCCGCACACCGCCGTCTCTGTCTGGTCCGGTCAGAGCCGGCGCATGCCCCGCGCACCACCGCCTCCGCCTGGTCCGGTCAGAGCCGGCGCATGCCCCGCACACCGCCGTCTCTGTCTGGTCCGGTCAGAGCCGGCGCATGCCCCGCGCACCACCGCCTCCGCCTGGTCCGGTCAGAGCCGGCGCATGCCCCGCGCACCACCGACTCCGCCCGGTCCGGTCAGAGCCGGCGCATGCCCCGCACACCACCGCCACCGTCCGGTCCGATCAGAGCCGGCGCATGCCCCGCACACCGCCGTATCCGTCCGGTCCGATCAGAGCCCCTGCACCCGCGCCCGGTGTCCTCGGGCCGCCACACCTGTACACGCGGGTGGTGTGCCTCTGGCCGTCGCGCCAGACGCGGGCCAGCGCCTGCAGGTCGTTGGCAGGGTTCCAGTCGAGGTCGAACAGCACGATGGACGAGGCGCCCACCAGGTTCAGGCCCACGCCGCCCGCCTTGGCCGAGAGCAGGAACACGGCTGGAGCGTGGGGCGCGGTGAGGACAGAGGGAGACTGACGTGCTGCAGAGGAGACACGCCTGGGAGGTATGCGACGTGTGCTCACAATGCAGCAACAGCACTCATGGGGTACGAGATATTGGACACTACCAGTCAAAGCAGAGGCATTATAGCTCACGTAAAAACGGAAACTAAGGCCACGGAACATGCAGGGACGATTGGTGAGCAGAAATTACAGGATCGCACCATACAGTTTGTGCTTTGCATCGATTGCAATGGTGAGAATGAAAGGCTAAACAGAAGTACAAAGTATTCTAACGCATTAAATGCAACGAAGTCAAGCGATGTATTTATGAAAACTACATCCACAAATCGGCCTATTCCCATATTACCCTCTGTTGAGTATGAGCTGTTGAACTGATCAACCAGCGACTGTCTCTTGGTGGAGGGAGTGCTGCCATCTAAGCGAAGGAAATTCAACTGATGCTGCTGACACAGCTTCGCTAGCAGATCAAGGGTCTGAAACACGAGCGGCACCAGGCACATAATAGCAACAAAACAAACGCACCATTTTCAAAACATATTGGTACTTGGTCTCATCCTGATTTAAAACTTAAGCCTCATGGACTGTTGAGGCCTGTCTCAACAACTAACTTGTCTCAATAACTCGTTCACAGCCCATAAACACCTCCCCTTAACAACAGGACTCTAAGGATATTTGTGGTGCCTTTCCATGTGGTCTTTCCAGCCGGTCCCACTGCTGGCCCAAGCCAGTGGTCAGTGCAGCAGATGACCAGGGCAGCGTCCTGGGAGCCCACGACACCGAGCCCGTTGTCGCGGAGCAAGGAGCGCAAGTACACCCTGACAAGACAGCGCGGCACACCTGTGTGTAGTAGGAGATGAGCACGATTTTCTGGCGGCGGTCGGCCCGCCGCAGGGCGTGCAGCAGGCTCGCCAGCACCGCCATCTTGCCAGAGTCGGTCGCCGATAGCCGGGCCTCACTGAAGCCCTCCGGAAACCTCAGCTGCAGACTGTTGAGCGCGCACGACTGGCGAGCACAGTCAGAGGGTCAGACGCGGACAGGGGGTCAGGCGGCACGACTGGTGGGCACAGTCAGAGGGTCAGACGCGGACAGGGGGGTCAGATGGGGCTCTCAGAGACCATCGCGGGTCTTCAGAGGCTCTCAGAAGTTAACCACGGTGTTCGAAGTTGGCCAGCCGGCGCGTCAGGACAGAGAACCGAGAGCTTGCTGGTGCGCACGGGCAAATCGGAGAGCGGGAGGCCGACCAGCATCGCTCACCGGATGAGAATGGAGCGTGGGAGCTAGGTCGGCAGGGGCGGGCGCAGGGGAGGGAGAGGAGAGCTCGCGGCTCTTCGGAGTGCAGGGGCACACTCGCCGGGTGGAAACAGCCGAACCGCAGTCCACATCCCGGACCAGCGGCCGACCCCCCGACGACTCCTCGGACCAGCGCCCCATCGGCACCCCGGACCAGCGGTCGGCACCGCGGCGGCCGTCGGCGGACGCACCTCCTGCTGCTCGGCGGCCAGGAGCAGCGCGGGGTGGCTGCAGAGCTTGCGCAGCAGCGATATGAAGACCAGGTGGCCGGCGCCGGCGTCCGAGCTCCCGGCCGACAGCAGCTGACGCAGTTCGCGCGACTCCAGCACCCGGCTGTACAGCTCCACCTGCCGGGACCACGCGGATCGCCGGTGATCATTCATGATCATGGGTAACTCATTAATGGTTGATGATGCGTGTCGGTAGTGGTGATACGGATCAGGGGTGTGCATTGTGAGCCATGAGCCGTGTGAGCTTATGGGTCAGGAGAGTGGGTCATGGGTCAGGAGAGTTTTCCAGGGATCAGCCCTCGGTCCTTTTTTATTCGCAATTTTCGCCAACGACATCCGCCTGCACGCGCCAGACGATCACGTGACCCAGCACGCTGATGACGCCCCAATCCTTAAATACGATGCCAGACGCAACCTTCCTTCTCTCATCCAATGCATGGAAGCCACCCTGTCTTCCGTGTAATCATAGTTCCCTGTCCAAGGTCTCGTTTTCAACGCACCCCAAGCCGACGAACTCCGTCTCCTTGGCACCAGACAGAACAACCGCGGACTTTCCCTTGTCAGCGTACGGGTTGTTGGAGGGCCCGTGCGGGAGAGCCAGACCACGGTCACCTGGCCGTGCTTTTTGACCACCACCTGAGGTGGGACGTACACCACAGCGATTTAGTCCAAGACTGCACAAGCCTCCAGATCCGTCTTCGCCACCTGAGGCATTTCCTCCCACGAGTGCTGCTGACAACAGCGCCGCGTCTAGTCATCTCGCGCGTGAGATACTGCATTTCAGTTCATGGCCATGGATTAGCTGTTGATGACACCAGTCAAGTTAACTTCGCCATCAGAGTGGTTAACAGCTTCCGAAAGCACGACCACGTGTCTCGTGCGCGGAATGCCCCACACCTCGCTTCGCAACGCCACGTGTGTGATGTTTAAACCATTTTTATAGCGCATAAAGCCCGTGAGCGAGGTGAGCCTGCGAATCTTGCCCGCGTATTTCCAACATACGCCGACGCGCAGACCCGCAGGCGTACTACCCGCATGGATCGGAGCCTGCCCCCCCCCCCCCCCCCCCCTCCATCGGCGCTGCACACGGCGGCAGGACACCGGTCTTTCGCAATTTAATCGCATGCATGTGTTTGTCTGCGTTTATCCCTTACCACTTTCAGTCATTTTTGACTCAATGTTTTGTCCCTCGCACCAATGACACGTAAAAGCTACGCATTTTTATGTGGAGCGTCAGATGATAACGAGAACGTCAGCTGATAACGAGAGGAACGTCAGCTGATAACGGGAGGAACGTCAGCTGATAACGAGAGAAACGTCAGCTGATAACGAGTGGAACGTCAGCTGATAACGAGAGGAACGTCAGCTGACATCGGATAAGTAGGCCGGGTAGGGGACCGAGGGTCTAGAATGCCATCCTGGGATTTCAGCGCTGTCCTTACAAGTATCCCTGCAAATAGGCAGGTGTCGTGGGAGATGCGTGGGCAGAGACATGCATGAATACTCGCATGCTTACAAGCCGTCTTTTACGCCGTGACACAAGTTAACCAGCTTTTACGGGAGTGGTCTCGCCGCTCTCTTTGCATGGCGGTGTGGTCGAAAAGGACCTATGAAAAGACCTAGTAGCGAAAGTCGTGCAAAAATCTGTGCGTTTGTTCGGCAAAAAGGAACGAACTTTATTTTTAAAAAAAACATGCCGGGTATTTTTACTGCGAGGCCCTGGCACGTGCTATGACCCGGTTGATGTACAATCCTGGTGGTTCACAGCCACCTTTGACCGCCGTGAGCCCGGCCCCGTGCTCACCTGCAGCGGCGAGGGTCGGCAGAAGACAACCGTCTCCACCTTGGGCGGCAGGTACCGGTCCAGCACCTCCTGCGTGCGGCGCAGGATGAACCTGCCCATCGAAACAAGCGTAAAGTGGTGGCGAATGGAACGGACAGAAGTCACTGGTACCACCGCCCAAATGATGTCCGTCATACCTATACAAGTTAACAGTTACAAATGTCAGGGCAATGATGATATCAGCTCTATCAAAACACCAGCAGGTTGCACGGCGCGGTTCTTTGGGTTGTATTGCACGTTACACGGCGCTTCATTGTGCTCTGTGCCATAAATTCCGCCTGCTATAGGCATCTGTCGATTCCCGATCAGGTCATCCGCTCCAGCGGCAGACCATGGCCAGGCTGCAGGCAAACACAGTGCGCACAGGTACCAGCCCCCCCCCCCCCCCTTCCGGCAAAATTCAGGTCCAGCTGCAGGTCAGCAGTACTCTCCGCCAAAACGACCTAGATGACACTCGAACCGCTCGGAGTCGGAGAGTCGGAGACTACCGACTCTGGCACGGATACAGACCGCCCTCAACGCAACGGTGGCTGGATCATCCGCCCTTTCCCATCGGGGTGTTCCCAGCTGCCTGCGAGACGTCCCGCCAGGCGGTGCTGCTGCAGGGCGCCGGTCGCCTCACCTGTCGGTGACGGCGGCCAGCTGCGCGGCTCTCTCCTCGCCCAGAGCTCGCGCCGCCTCGGACGCGTCCGGCTGACGCCCCGCCACCACCGGCCGCTCAAAGTCGCGCCGGAACTCTGCCAACGTCCGCCGGTCAGCCGAGGCCGGCCGCTGATGGCGGGCTGACCGGGCTCACTCGTGGCCGCGGCAGTTCACACTCACGTACTTTGTTGTGGTTGTTTCTTTTAATGTTTCAAGGCTGCCACTACGCTAAGGGAGCTGAGCCTGTACAGATCCTTTGGAGAATTTGTCTTTGCAACCGCGGCGCTTGAGAACAATAGATTATTTACATTAAGCAAAATACCAGGACGGGACGGTGAGGTCGTTCTTCGCTGCGATAATGCAGGACTAGCATCATAGCTACACACTGGTAGATAGATGACATTCAAGTCCTAAAACTGTTTGCTCCTGAAGACTTGCAGGCTGGCGGATGGGTGAAAACCAGAAGACGTCAGGGGAGAAATAATTTTCGGCGATCGTAATCATATGGGTAGAGAAGGAAGAGAAAGGGGGTGGAGGCGAAAAGGCGCTTGACTAAGCCTAGCACCGGCAGTAACAGGTATAGCGCAGTGTGTCACCTCCTTTTTCCTTCTTTTTGCTTCCTTCTCAATTCACGTGATAATGGCGAACGCCTAAAATTCGTGCCCTACTGATTTATTCTGATCTTCACTCATCTACCACCTAACAAGTCTTCCGAAACAAACAGGTCAGTTTCTTTAGGACTTAGAGGTCACCTGCGCACCCGCAAGTATAATACCCTGTGTCGATGTTGCAGGCCGATGCCTTCATAAGAGCTGCACCCCAACGTTTTCTAGAACATCAACACCCAAAACCAGAGACCACCACGGGTTAAGCTCCGGTTAGAAGCGAGAATTATTAACGTTAATAGCGTCACTCATTGGAACCCTAGACCACAGAGCACGTGTCTGAGCATTCGCTCGGCATTTTTCGGCAAAGTGACATTGAACATCACGAAAGAACTCGGCTCATCATGCTTAACACGCAGCGTCCTGGCCATGTTCCAATGTGGGCAGAGATAAAGCCAAACATGCCCCGAGCCCCGCTTACCACTGACGGAGCCCAGGACCCCAGGGCTCACGAACTGGACCAGCGCGAAAAACTCCAGCAGGTCGTTCTGCACGGGGGTGCCAGTCATGATGATCCGGCGAGGGCAGCAGAGCGAAGACAGCGCCTGTGTCGATGACACGTGAGGCCGAGTCACTGTACAGCCCATACGGCGGCACGTTATCTTAAGACACATCGGACATATGGGCGCACCATAAACGCGTTATGCAGCACACACACACATCTCCGACGGTGATGTAAATGACGTCATCCTGGTCACAATAGGTTCGCACGCGCATACGAATAGATATAGGTGAGTTGATCGCATTCACGGATATTCGTCAAAACAAAGACATCTATAGCTGGTCTTTAAAGAATGGTCTTTCTCGACTTTAAATATCTTATAGTAATAATGATGGAAGGTGGGCATCGTCATCATTCAATCCAAGCATCGTGAGGCATAGGAAGCGAAGCAAGCAAAACAATGCTGGGTAAAGTGCTTGGTGATGGCGGCGGGCCGCTGACCGTGGCGGCCTTGATGGCGGAGTTCTTGAGCCGGTGTCCCTCGTCGCAGACCATCAGATCAAACTGGCACTGCTGCAGCCGCTCCAGGTTGCGCACGGCCATCTCGTACGAGACGATCAGCACGGGCGACAGCCGGCCGCCGACGAACTCCCGCACGGAGTGCGTCTGAGGCGGCCGTCCAGGGGGCGGTCAGACGTGCGGCCGCCGCCACGACAGCGTCCGGTCGGTCAGACGTGCAGCCACCCAGCGTCCGGTCGGTCACACGTGCAGTCACCCAGCGTCCGGTCGGTCACACGTGCGGCCGCCGCCACAGCGTCCGGTCGGTCAGACGTGCAGCCACCCAGCGTCCGGTCGGTCAGACGTGCGGCCGCCGCCACGACACGTCTGTTACGTGCTGGCGCGCTGTAAACTCGGAAATCTTTAAAAACAGGATTTCAACCAACAGTAAGAGATATATCAGCATTGTATTGCGATAGAGGTCGGCGTCTAAAAACTCTGTCGTAGTCGTATCGTATCCAGCTAGCCTCCGACATGCTATGAGGGTTAGAGCACACTCCACTGCATCAGCGATCACGTCCGAACTCCGCATGTCGCACATCCACGACACTAGCACATACTGATCACAACAACTTCTTTTTGGACTTTTTCACCATTTTTTAGGTCCGCAGTATGAAGTGCATTGAAGTTTAACACAAACGTTGGCCAGTCAGGACAAAACAAGGGAAGAGCTGCCTCATCTGCGGTCCCACTCGCTCGTCCTGTTCGGCAACACAGCCAATATTGGCTGTTGAAGATATTATTGATGATCATGATGACTGGGGTTTTATTAGATGATTATATATTATGGAAGATATATATTAAAGATGTTATATGATGGAGGTATTGACGCAATTTGTTTTCTAGCAAATTGTGGTATGTCCTCATCATTGCCTGAAATAAACAACTTGCATCATCATCATGTGCATCACTTCAAAGTCCAGACCTTTTACATACCAGGCGAAAGGGCAGTAATCACTGTTAGCTGCTGTATAAGGCAATATTAAATCAACTCGAGACCCTTTTCGCCCAGCAGTTGTCCTGCTTCATCCCGTCGGGACAGGCAGACCACCCGCCGCGCCGGGACAGACAGACCACCCGCCGCGCCGGGACAGGCAGACCACCCGCCGCGCCGGGACAGACAGACCACCTGCCGCGCCGGGACAGACAGACCACCTGCCGCGCCGGGACAGGCAGACCACCCGCCGCGCCGGGACAGACAGACCACCTGCCGCGCCGGGACAGGCAGACCACCCGCCGCGCCGGGACAGACAGACCACCTGCCGCGCCGGGACAGACAGACCACCTACCGCGCCGGGACAGACAGACCACCTGCCACGCCGGGACAGACAGACCACCTGCCGCGCCGGGACAGGCAGACCACCCGCCGCGCCGGGACAGACAGACCACCTGCCGCGCCGGGACAGACAGACCACCTGCCGCGCCGGGACAGGCAGACCACCCGCCGCGCCGGGACAGGCGGACCATCCCAGGACAGGCGGACCACCTGCCGCGCCGGGACCGGCAGACCATCCGCCGCGCCGGGACAGGCAGACCACCCGCCGCGCCGGGACCGGCAGACCATCCGCCGCGCCAGGACAGGCAGACCACCCGCCGCGCCGGGACAGACAGACCACCCAGCACGCTGGGACAGGCGGACCATCCAGCACGTCCCACCTGATCGACGGCGAACACGGACAGCCGCTCCTTGCCGAGCCACTTGTGGAACTCCTTGACCCAGTTGCCGACAAGGCTGGACGGGGTGACGACCAGCACGCGGCGGACGGCAGGCTCGCCGCCGAACGGGCCCTGCTTCAGCAGCGTCCTGCGCAAGGTCGGGCCGTGACCGGTCAGCAGGCGCTGGCCGCTCCGGCCCCACCACCGCGGCTACCGAACACACTGACCGAGTCCCACGTCCACTACGGCGTTAGAGATGTTCTAACAGCGACTAGCAGATATCGACCGCGGCCTACGCGTTAGGTAAGTCGGGCAGAATGATGAAATAAACTATTTTCAGACCCAACAAACTCACAAAACATTGAAAGGCCACCGTGTGCGTCACCAGACGCATTGACATTGAGAGATCCATCAATGTTGAAAGATCCATCGGACATTGAAAGATCATTTTACATTGAAAGATCCACCGGTGTGCTAGCAGACGCAATGCACAGACAACGGATGGTCCCATCTGACCAGGGTCAATCGCCAAACAGCCGGCAAGCAGCGACTGCTCTCCGCCTCGGCTCGCCGTCCACTGACCAGACGAGCCCGATGCACTGCAGCGTCTTGCCGAGCCCCATCTCGTCAGCCAGCACCGCGCCGCGGCCGAGCTCCGAGGTGAAGCCCATGACGCACTGGTAGAGGAAGAGCAGGCCGTCCCGCTGGTGGGGCCGCAGGTGCCGTGACACGTGCGGGTCCACCACCACGTCCACCAGCGGGCGCCCCTCCGAGTTGTGCTTCCACTGGCGGCCGCGGGCGCAGGCGGTGAACGGGGGCCCGTAGGCACAGACGGTGAACGGGGGCCCGAGGGCACAGGCGGTAAACAGGGGCCCGCGGGGCACAGGCGGGGGCCCGCGAGGCACAAGGCCGGGCCCACTATCTACGCACAAAGCCTTGGCAGGAGTAAGACATCTTGACGTCTGTTTCAAGGACAGGGATCTGATCAAGAGGTGTTTGTGCATTGGGTCACTGGACACTGGGCGCATGGTTGCCCCGAGCGCACCTGATACTGAGCGGACGGCCGGGGCATGACGAGCGCCCCTGGCGCCTGCGGATCGAAGCGCGGCTGCACGGGGCCGCCGCCAGGTCGCCGCAGCGCCGCGCCCGCCAGCGGGCTGACGAAGGGCCGTGCCGGCGCCGCCGGCGGCGCGCGGACGGCGGTGGGCTCCTGCTCTGCCGGCGCCGCCGGGGACGCCGTGGCGCGAGACAGGTACTCCTCAGCACGAACCGAGTTCTGGATCTGAGGCAGGTGTGAAGAATGAGGGAGAGAGAAACCTGCACAAAATGCTGCAGCCGATTCTGAAGCGCCCAACTGAATGGCGCATAAGTCGGTGAGTTGTGAGATTCGGACGGCAATTAATCGCCGTTTGGCCCCAAAGCTGGGCAGCCTTAACGTTTAAGATGATTCTATTCCATCGAGCTGCAAAAGCAGAATCTCGCTAGCAAGAGCTCTGTTAGGTCGCACACATCCACTCTGTTCACTTCATTTCACTCAAATGACTGATTGCCATTTGAATGGAATAAAGTGAAGGCTGTTGTGATGAAGGCATTGTGAAGGCATTCTGCGGAAGACTGTTGTGATGGATCCAAACGGCGCAGTGCAAAGGGTGCAAATCCATATTCATTGATACTCGCTAGAAAGCAGCAGAAGTTCCATCAACGCCAGGTCCGATTTCTCCGATTTGCAACACAAAGTTCGCAATCAGCCTCACAACACAGCCACATGTCGAGGTACTTATCAACACCGGCCGCCGACACAATGCCGACGTCGGTCACTCGGCGGCAGTGAACGTCAGGACCCTGACCCTGCCGGCAGCGGCGGAGGCCGCGGAGCCGCTCCGACTGCCGCCGGCCAGCGCGCACTGACCTCGACCTCCTTGCCGCCGACGGTCAGCAGGTCACCATCGGAGAGGTCCTCCAGCTCCTTCACCTTGTAGCCACTGCCCTGGCCGATCACCTTCCGCTCCGTGTCCTGAGGCAACGCGGACGCCCTGAGGCGGTGGCGCGCCGAGGCGGTCGCGGCAGCCGCCGGCCACACACATCGCGGCCCACAGTGGCCGTGAGTGTGTGTGTAGCCGCGACACAGTAACACAGCTACGGCTGACAGAGCCTGAGGCGACGAACAGTGCGCATGCACGACGGCGTGCCCTGAGACACCGGTCTTACCAGCAGGACCACGCGCCGGCGGTGCACCTCCAGAACGGCGTCTCCTTCCCATTTCTTGTGCTTTCTGGCCGACTTCTTGCACCATATGACGTCAAAGTACCTAGAATATCCAGGATGGTGATACTTCACCTGCGGTTTATTACGAAATAAGTAGCAAACAGCAGGTAACAATGCAAATGGTCTCGAATGCCATATGTGTTATTCTGCAACGCGGTCGCACACAGGCACTGCGGACGGCACGATTGGAACCGTGCGAACGGACCAACACAAATCAGATAATGTCTAAGCAGGTAAATGGAACAATGCTGCACAGCAAAAAAAACAGTTGGTTCATAACACCTTGATATGCTGAGATAGTAATGATTTATTGCAATATCATGAGACAAAAACAAGGCAAACGCTTTTTAATCCTTTGAAATACCTGGGTTTGTCCGATCTTTCTGCTATGACTGAGTCATTTTCACTCGTATTGGTCTGATCTGTGAGCAGCATAGCTTTCTGCTTTATATTCGTAACTTGCGGCGAAATGGTTGCCCCTGGCCGAGATATCTGTTGGTCATCTTGCTGCAGTGATGGTATAGTCATGGAAGACAGGGCAAAAGGAAACTTTTCTTGACTGTGGGTGTTGTCTGTTGTCTGGTCCATGACAGGATGATCCAAAATGCTGAGGATCTCTGTGAGTGGTCGCCTGCATTCTGCTGGTCTTGATGCTTGGGCTTTTGTCTCATCAGCATAAGGCACTTCTGGCTTCTTAGTTTTGACTATTGACACAGCTGAAACACAGAAGTCGAAACTGATGTTTACACACCAAATACTGTTCAGAGCAGAAATCATAAGCATGCAGCATAACCCCTAAAGATGTGCTTTAATCATAGTACAATAACAAAGGCATCATGCAAGTTGGATCCAATACAATAATAGGTAGTGGGTTTAGAAGAAGGATGTGATGTGGTGGTGATGGGTGTTTTGGGGTGCACAGACGGCTATGGTCATGTTGTGCCCCCAGACAAAGGGAAGTTTGTGAATATGCATGTGATGGCAAAGGCCAGACCAATTCCTCTTTCAGTGATATCAGCCAGGAGCTGTTGAATCTTGACCACCAATTTAGTCATGACATTTTTCTCATGTTAGCTCCATGTCAGTATACATTATCATCAAATATGTCATGTTACACACAGCAGAATGACACCACATGATACACCATAAGAAAATTGATGGACCCCAAGTCCTTGGCTAGTCCTGCCCAGATGCATGACCAAAGGCAGCCTTGGAATGTGTCCCTACTGACCATGCATCTGTGAGACATGTATTCAATGTGTTAACATTCTATAAATTCAGAAAAGGATGAAATTGGAGCCTTCTTATGATAGTAATTATTCCTGATAGATCAGAATTAAAAAGAAGCAATGCATGCAACTATAGCTGTGCTGGATCTTACATTTCACATATTCCTTTTCATCACGAACACCCTGCACTGCAGCACGGGGTGCCTGGCACGCAAATGGTGTGCAAAACTTCCCCTTTTTGTTGACAGACCCCAAAGATGGTGCTGAGGACCTTCTCATTTGAATAACTTAGGGACCTTTTCGGCAAATGGAAAAATCGTCGCGGACGGGCTTCACCAGACTGAAGAAAGGTCACAATTCCAATTATTTTATGGAGACTGAAGCCCAAGAAATTACTACGTAGCCACTGGTCATAAAATAGGCATAACTTGAAATATCCCGCCGAATCGTGCGTGTATTTTGCCTTCAGCGCGCCAGAGAGGCTTCAGTAGTTTCTGCACATCAGCTCATAGCACGCTTAACGCACCATGCAAAAAATAATTGTTCCCTTAAACCACTTACAATTATAAAATCAAAAGTAAAAGAAATGTTTTTGTCAACGACTTCTGACAGAGATCTGCTAAAGGAACTCTTTACACTGGGCTACCGCCAGGTGGCGGGCGGCCGTCCGATCTGCGAGCGGCAGCAAGGTGCACCCAAGCAGACGCACATTGCCACATGACGAACCGCTGCGTATAGCAGACACGCGGCGCCAATGTAAAAGCTGAATAGGGGCCAGAATGAAATAAGCGCTCCCGCAAGAGCAACTGCGACCGTCATATCATCACCCTCCAGCCCAAATATTCACTTTTAAACACCGTAAGAACGACAGCCTCTGTGTCCGTGTGCAAGCGGCCTGGGCTGCTGACGGCCGGCTGGTTGATATTTGACAATGCTAGCAACGGATCTCCTGGCGAGTTAGCTGTAATACCGCCCGCACTGGTACAAACGAAGCACGTGTGCATGCACGTCTAAATGCCAGAACCCTGACCGTCTCCTCGCTTTCGGGTCCCAACGCACGCATTGTGAGGCGCAGCTTCGGGTAGATTACCCCAAGTACAGTATGGGACCTTCTTGCAGGATTGATGCAAGGCCGGCCATAATGACACCAACGTGACATGTGTGTACGCACGTGACATATGGAGGCATGTGTCGACCATTCTATTGCTTTCGTGATTTAATATGACGTGCAAGCCACATGGGCTGCGGGCGGCCGCTCGGTCGATAATTGCCCTAAGTTCAACAACGGACCGCCTGATATGTTAGGTGCAAGACTGTTCAGATTGTTACAAACATGGCACGTGTGCATTTGTGTCAAATGAGGGACTACGTTTGCGACAGTCTGGGCTACTGCCCAGACTGTCGCAAACGTAGCACCTGTAAGTGAGTGTGAAAACTATTGAACGTGTGTTCAGTACTCTTTGGTTTTCTGGACTAAAACTGTGAAGTTTTTATTGTCAAAACGGCCTGAGTGACAAGCAGGTACGCGGCCGGGAATCGCGCCAGGTCAAGTAATGGAACTCCCGACAGGCTATGTCCAAGACCGTCCAAACCGCCACAAGCCTAGCACATGGCGCGCATGTGACATATGCAGACAGATGTCGACCATTTTATCGCTTCGGTGATGGGTACACCACTGCATAAGCGGTCTGAACGACTGGCGGTCGCCTGGTTAGAAAATTGCCTCTGTTCCAACAACGGACCTCCCTACAAATTGAGCTCAAGACCACCCAGACTGGTGCAAACGTGGCACGTGTGCATGCATGTCCAAATGCCTGTGCTGTATCGACCGTCTCATCGTTTTGCAGCACCAACTCACACATTGTGGGGCGCATTTTCGGCCGGATTGCTCCAAGGCGATCATGGGACCTCCCTGCAAGCTAGATGCAAGGCCTGCCAAAGCGGCACAAATGTGGTAAGTGTGCACGCATGTGACATATGGAGACATTATTTCACTATTCCATCGCCCTGGTGATTGAATACGTCATTGTACAAGCGGTCTGGACGGCTGGGGCCTGCCGGTCGATGATTGCCAACTCCAACAGCGGATCTCCCGGCGCACTCTCCTTTCCGGCCGGCTGCGTCCGGTCACTGCTAGACCCGGGTCACGTGATGGCCCGAGGTACCGAGATCAGCGATGAGAGGTGAGATAGCTGGCTAATACAACTTTGGTCACGCGGTACCTGGCGTGTGGCTGGGCCCGCTGGCGGACGGCAGCGACACTGGCAACTGAGGTGCAAGACCGCCCAAACTGACACGAACGTAACGTGTGGGCCTGTAGGTCCAAATGTCACCGACTTGCTCATCGCTTTTGTACCAACTCACGCATTACGAGGCACAACCTTGGTCAGGCTGCTCCAACTACAGTAAGGGGCCTCTGGACAGTTTAGATGCAAGACAAGCCAAAACGGCACAAACGTGGCACAGGTGTACGCACGTGACATATAGAAGCATGTTTCGACCATTCTTTCGCTTTGGTGATCCGATATGCCACTGCGCAAGCTCCTTGGGCGACTGGTGGCCGCCCGGTCCATAACTGCTCCAAGTTTAATAGCGCCCCCCCCCCCCCCGACAAGTGAGGTGCAAGACTGACCAAACTGTGTAAACGTAACATGTGTAAATGTATGTGAAAAATGTACAACGTGCGCTCCGTATGCTTTGGCTTTCGGGATTGAGGCTGTGAAATTTGCATCGTCAAAGTAGTTTGAATGGCTGTTTGTTACGCGGCCCCAAATCACCCCAAGTCCAGCAACGGACCTCCTTGCGGTGCAAACGCGGCACGCGTGCATACAAGTGCAAATGCCAGAGCTACACGGACCGTGTCCTCGTTTTCGTGCCCAACTTGCACATTATGAGGCGCAGCTTCGGCTAGATTGCTTTAGGTCCAGTATGGGATCTCCCTGCAAGCTGGCAGCAACACCGGCCAAACGGCGCAAACGTGACACATGTGCACGCATGTGACATGTGGAAGCATGTGTTGACTGTTTCATCGCTTTCGGCCATAGGCTTGGCAAGCTTCCACTGTAAGTGTTCTGAGTGACAGGCGGTCGTCAGGTCGAGTATCGCCGCATGTCCGCAGCGCGCCTTCTTGCAGGCTAGATACGTTGCCGCCCGAACACGTAATAGGAGGGTTTTAGCCTCTCCCCGCTCTTTGAAAGATAAAAACGCCAAAGCCGGGGAAGCACATTGTTTAGTTGGGGGGAGGGGCGAAAGTTTTCGGAATTTTTCACGGTTTTACCTCTGAACTCTTATTGCACAACTGAGCCCATGCAGGTTGCTTGAGAAAGCCGTCTTCCTCTCACCACATTCTGAAATCTCATCGCCGCCTCTCGCTCTAGCCGAGTTGGATGGAAGACGGCCATCCTCCAAAGTAATGCGTGGGGAGGCCTTTCTGGTCCCAGACGGTTCCCCGCCGGCGCTCCGCTCACGCGAACGGCATGTTCGGCCGAGGCTACCGTCAGCCTCGGCCGAACATTTATTGACACTTTTTTGAATATTGACACCTTAGAATCGGTTTTAGGCGGAAAGCTTGGCACGAGATGCTCACCTAACCTATCCCAGCACCTGATTTCTCCCAACATTTCAGCCACTTAAATTGGCTTTCCCGACGCCAAGGATCAATGTTTTCATCGCCCGATATGACCATGGCGGAAAAATAACGGTCCATTGCAAGTCTTTACGGTATTGCAGTGTAGTAACAAGCTTAGAGTTGGGTGAAACGCACAGAAAACATCTTAGTAAGAATATCTGATAAGATCACTGGGAACAGGTCTCGTTTATTGTTGACGGATGGCTGTCCTGGGCGCAAAAAGGCAGCTTTCTCCCGAATGGCTTGTACAATGGCATGCTCAATCACAAAAGCGAAAGAATGGTCGACACATGTTTCCATATATCACATCGGTCACACGAACCAGACTTGCGCCGTTTTTGCCGGTCTTGCTTTCCGCCTGTCGGGAGACCCTTTACTGGACCTCGTGCGATTCCCGGCCGCGTGGCCGCCTGTCGCTCACATCGTTCTGAAAATGAAAACTTCACAGTTTCAGATCCGAAAGCCAAAGCCTAATGAGCTGCACATGTCCATCATTCGACACACGTGCACACGTGCTATGTTTGTAACAGTTTCGGCAGTCTCGCACCTAACTTGCCTGGAGGTCCGTTGTTGGACCGCGGACAATTTTGGACTTGGCGGCCGCCAGTCACTCAGAGTATTTAAAAAATAGAAACCCGAAAATTCTAGTTCCGAAAGCGATAAAGTGGGCAACACATACGGCCATATGTCACATGCGAGCACATGTACCACATTTGTGTCGTTGTGGCCGGTCTTGCATCCAGCATGCAGGGAGGGTTTCGGCGCTTAAGTGCCCTTTGACCGGACCCCCAGGTCACCATCTTCTCCCCAGGATTATTGATTAAGCGGCGTCGAGTGGGGGAGGTTTGGCGTTGATCGATCTGATAGGCCCGGAGTATGGGGTGGTCAACATATTATGTTGGTCAATTGGTCCATCCCGGGATACTAATCACACCCTTAGCAAAGCCTATAACGAGGTTCCAGAGTTCAAACAGGTGCCGTCAATGAAATGCCCCGGTGCGTCAGTTGGTTAGAGCGCCCGCCTCCCGACTCACCCACCCGTGGCGAGATGAGTTCGAGTCGCTGTAGGCGCTCGCATCTGTCCTTGACAGGTTTGGCCTCCGGCGGGCGGCAGCGGTCGCGATCAAGGTCAGCTGACGTCGGAGGGCTAGACGGACCGTGTCGACCATTGTGGGGCGTCAAGCCTTCGTCGCCAAATTCTGCCGTGGACTTGGAATCGCGCGATCAGATGGTGAGGGTCTGGGCTCACACAACAAGTACTGCTCAGCGTGAGTTCTAATCCCAGAATTCCATCCATTCGAGACATTCGGACTAAATCTTAAGGATGACTTGGATCATGACAAGGAAGGATGACATGACAATGGATCTACGTCTTGTATAACAAATGGTGTGATTTCTTCTCCACTTGGGCGCAAAGGACGGGTTTCGCGCCTTCCGGCCAGCTGTTCCGTACTCTATTCAGTTAAGCTTCGATTCAACCTCTTGATGAGGATGAAAGATAATGCTAGTGAAATGATACTGACTTACTTGAACCTTCACTTTACAAAGGCGTACTTTAAGCACAAAAACCCTACGAAATGACGCATGATAACAGTACTTTAAATTAGTAGCATTGAGTAAAATGCGCGGCGAACGATATCTGGCACACTAGCGTCATACCCTGCGCAAACATTACACACGAGGAGCAGCTAGCGTTTGCTTTCGTTAACGCACTAAACGTTTTGGGACGCGTTGTGCAGGAGGGCCTACGACGGCGGGGTAACGGACGGTGGGTTCCTAGTATTGAGAATTACAATAACGATAGGTTAAAGGACGGTTAGGTTCTACCCTGCCGTCCTATCAACAAGAGCTGTGATCCTACCGACTGGTGTGTGCGAATGCGTGCCCCCGTAGTGTATTGTCTGGAAACACATAAGTTTATTCGGGTTCCAAACGTTGGTTTAAGATCCTACCGTAGAGGTTTTGCGCCATTGTGCCTTGAATTCTGAAGCGTACTTCCGTAAACAGGTAGAGTTCTTGCTGAAGTCCAGTGGTGATTTCACTCAGTGTTCCTGGCGTTATACCGATGCGGTCTCAGAAACGGAGGATGGCCTTGCACTGGGCTGATGTATACACATGCATCCCTATAGATATATAGACATGTATATATATATATATATATATATATATATATATATATATATATATATATATTTACTGGTTCTTCACCTGGCCAAGATGCTTTATCAGGATTATCTCAAATTCACCTAGTGCCATTAACTTGCAGAGGTAGAGCATCACTTCCTGCCTGTTGTGAGTTGGCTTGGCTCACTGTGTATCATGTCATCATTGTGTTCCCCAGGACAAATTCACTAATGGAGCTTCCTAAGTTGCATGCATGTTGAATAGTGTAACCTGTCCAATAGATATGTTGATGATGATGATGATTTGGAGTTTTAGGATGCATCAGCTGCTGTAGGTCATGCAGCACCCATCAGTATATCTGTCAGGAGTGGTCAGCATTTAATAGTAACATGGTGTCTTGATACATTCTATAAGTGCAGAAGTTTCTGGTTTTAAGCTGCACCTGCTTTGTACTCACTTTTCCAGTGTTTAATATGTATTTAGTACCATAAATATAAAGTGCACTGCTGGGAAGGCTGCATTGAGGCAATGCACTGCATTTTACATGAATATATTTTTTGGTCATATATTTCAGAAAGCCATCTGCTGGACATTCCTTAAGCCTACAATGTTATGGCGAACACTTGGGTCAGCTGTTTTGCTGATCATTTTCAGGTCAACTTTCATGGATTTGTTCAGGGAAGACAAGGTTCAGGATGAGGATTCCAATGATTCTGGATTGGAAACATACCAGGAAGTAATTCACAGTGCTCCAGGAGATGAAAGCACCAACAGGGACCAGGATGAGATGCATGCAGGATCAAAAAGGTGAGCAACATAGTTTTCCTTAGCATTATGAGAAGCCTATCTGAATCTTATGAAAAATGATCCATGACAATGTTAAAGACCTTAGCAGGTGTTTTTTAATTGGCAATCTACAATCAATTCTGTATGCTATGATTGGATGTTATGTAATGCCTTTTTACTGGAAGCCCATCATCAAGCCATGTGCCCATGGGTGTCAGTAGTGTAATGGTTAACATGGTATGAACCATGTGTCATGAACCACCTGCACTTCTGGAAAAAGCAACCAAGAGGTAAGGTTTGATTTCTGCTGCCCTTCCTGCCAGGGTGGGAAGGCACCACCATAAAGGCCCAACAGCTGAGTATGTTGTAAAGCTCCAATGACTACAACAAAGCTATGGTAAATCAAAATAGTTTGTAGTGATTTATTTTGATGTCAGTATGGTTTTTTGTTGGGACAGGGGGCTGAAGTCGTCTTGACTAGGATATGGCACATTTTGGCCCCCAGTATGCCTTAAACTGTGCATTGGACTTTAATTCAAGATACACTGAAAGTGCATCTATGAGAGCATCAGTTTAATATATCATTCAATGACTGAATCTTTTGGATGGTTACAATATTGACATCAAGCTGCTTCTGACACCCGTGGTAGGGCAAGTTTACATGGTCACAATGTCTGCATCTGGCACTAGACAGTTTGAGGATATAGACAGGCAAAGGCATCATGCCAGCCCTCTAGGGCAGCCATGACTGGGACAGTGGGCAGAGCTGCTTTACGAATTCACGATTGAAGTCAGCAGGTATTGTGAACTTGAGTGCAGAATGATAGTTTATTGGTGCAGCCAGTTGAGAAGATTTCATGAATGCAAGGAAACACACCATGTTCGTTTTTGTATCAATAGACATGCATTACAAACATCAAATGTGACCAATTTTGACCAAGCAGAAGATTCGTGTTAATAAATTTATTGCGACTGAGACGTCAAACAAATTTGAAACCTGCGCTCGGCCGGGGATCTGAGACAATGGCGCTCAGCGCGGGGGAAGTTCACTTCCTCCCTGGGATCTCCAGCTTCCTGACGTCATATTAGAAAAACAAAGATACCATGTTGAAGGTCTCGTCAACTCATGAGGAATGCACACCAGTTTTTTACTTTATGCTAAATGTGATGACACCAGAGGTCACGAAACGTCAAAAACGGTCGTTCCGGTAGATGTCGTTAAAACCTGTGTTGACACGTTAAGGCGGAGAATGAGGGCACGAGAATAAGCTTTAACGCGCGCCGCGTGGCTGGTTGGATACCTTTTGCTCGGGTAGGGAGTCATTTGGACCCTCCCCCCCCCCCCCCCCCCCACTGAGCTCTCAGAAGCAAAAAGAGCTAGACACCCAATTCACAGGGTGTGTTGACCTATAAGTGAGCTCACTTGGTCAAAGTTTGAAGTCCCTAGGTCATGGCCTTTGGGTCAAATAAGGTCAAACAAGGTCAAACTCCAGGCTGGTGTCCAAGGTGCCCCAAAATCTAGATACCTGTTCTAGGCAAAATGTCACATGCTCATTAAAGGTCAATGACCTTGCTTGATCTTTCGAAGGTCATGGTGACCAAAGTCATACAGGACTGCTTTGAGTTTTGCATTTGAATAAGCAACAGATATTACGGTAGGCACTATGTTCCTAAAAGCGAAATCTTGACCTAGGTAACTTTACATCGGTAACCTATTCTGGCCTTTAAGAAGTCCATGGAAGATGTACAATGCGCTTCCTGTTACCAATAAATTTGACCTGAGCACCAGAATGTACCTCAAGCAGCAAGCTCCAGAGTAATAAAACAGATTTATTTTAACCTTGGTCTGACTCTCATACCTGACCCTAGGTCATTTGTTGTGTTGCCTCAAAAAGTATCCCAGAGATGTATGGCTTCGTCTAACACTCCGCTGTCGCATCAGATTGAACGATTCCCGGGAAATTGACTTCGTTGAATCCATGACCTGATTTTGACCTGCCGTAGGTCAGCGACATCGCAAGTTACACCTAAATTTTTGATACCAAACGATCTGCTATTCAATTGTCTACAACTGGGGAAAATTTGGCGGGACTACGCCGTGCCGTTCGGAAACCATTTCAGAAATATATTCGGGGGATCAAATTGACCCCCGCCCGAGCTCATGTTAAGACTGTAGTCCATTCCGACCATTTTTGTTCCCCCACAAGGGTCAGGTCAGATCAGGTGATCGTTCATTGTCCGCCGGCCTGCAAAAACGATAGTCTTTTCGCAATGCGCTTCTGACTAAGTTTATGTTATGAGGTGTAGCTGTGGGAAAAAGCTTTCCAGACACAACAATACCACTTTAGGTTGACCAAGACGTCGTCCAAGTTAACCTTGGTTAAACTTAGCTGAAACTTAAGTTGAAGTCACCCTGAGATGCACGACGCCATAGAAACGTCACAAGAATTCCGCGTCTTCGACTGTCATGTTGTTCGAGGCCAACAAAAACATGGCCGTTGAGTTCATTATCTGTTCAGTGTCTGGAGTACGTCAGCGCGAATTGTGGCATTAATGGACAACAGTTGCTTTCAGCCAGCTGACGCTTGAATCGGAAGTTTCTAACACAAACCACGTTTTTGACACATAAATTTGGGCAGTGCTGCTGGTTATGATGGGAATGAAGTTTGAAATCAAATAACTTAGGAATAGCGTCGTAACTGAAAATGCGTATGCAATCAAACATTGTATGTCTGGAAGATTGACAAGAATGCCATAAGAAAGTGCCAAGACACGCACAGATATGGGATGAACACAGGGTGAATGAAGGCGAGGATTGACGAAACAGATGTATGTCGATGACATGGCATGGGAACAGTAATTCTCTTTTCAAGGTGTTAAGTGCACACAGTAATTTTGTAGAACTTTTTTACGTTAAAAACTTCTCATTGCATTAATCCTTCTTGAAAGCTGCCATTATCAATATAAATTGGCATGGATGAAGTATGAGTCCCGACTGCGCTCTACATTAACATAGCAGTTGGCGTCTTGAAGCCTTCAAAGGTGCTTATTTCACTATGTCGTTATTTTCGTTCGTCTATTGGCCGCCGCCTAGCATAAGCTCTAAGGCCGAGGCCACGCGGCCTAAGGAGACCGCAACGTCGGGTATCATTTTTTTCTGGGACTTGTGAGCCCACACTTTCAAAACCATCCGCGCAATTTTTCTCACTCATCGATTCTGACTGAAGACAGGACATTCCCTTGTTACCACGGGCTGGTCATTGTGATACAAATCCGTGACCCCATTTCGATCTACGATTCACGTTCCTGGTGTCAGTTTATCTGCAGAAGCTAGAAAAAAAACTAGGATGGCGCCTGGATTCTATCGGCTTAGACAGGGCCGGCTAAACCATGGCTAATTGAATGGCGTCGGCAGATTATTACATGCAGTTATTTGACAGAATTATTGAATCGATTTTCAACACATTTAATCCGAAGTTGCGGACTACATGGATTTCTGGGATCAGAGCTCATGTTAAGCAGTACTTGTAGCGCGAGCCCTGACCCCTACCACCCGATCGCGTAATTCCAGGTCAACGGCAGAATTCGGGAACGAAAGTTTAATGTGCTGCAATGCTCGACACAATCCGTCCTGCCCTCTGACGTCAACTGACCTTCAGCGCGGTCGCTGCCACTGGCCGCAGGCTATAACTGTCAAGGGCAAATAGCGAGCGCCTGAAGCGACTCGAACCCACCCGCCACGGGTGGGTGGATCGGAGGGCACGTGCTCTAACCAAGTGACCCATCGAAGCAGACACAAAAGGGCGGGGCGAGATTTGTATTTGTATCGGTGACCACTCCTTTAAGATCCGATCAGTCTTTGGTTCAAAACTAAAAATGCAGTCAGGTACAGTTTTGAAAGCGGGCAAAATAGCAAAAAATGATTGCTGGCCTGCATAGTTTTAATGGCCAATCTGACGCTGCTTACATATGCGTAACAGTAATGCGTGAAGCCATTAGACCCAGCCTTACAGCCATTGGTCCAGGTTTTTCGACCGTTTTGTCTGCCCCAGCCAGCTCTGCTTGCCGTCCAAGTCATGGTCACCTCACCGCAACGTTCAAATGCCTATGCGTGTTCTCATCCTCGGGCTATTTAGTGCCGTGTGCAGAGGTAGTAATCACGTGACGTACCCGCCGGTCGGGAGGGTCGTATTGGCAGAGGCAATGTCGGGACCCCGATTGCCTGCCCTGTCGTGAGGTGTCAGAATCAATTTTATGTCGATATAGCAGACGCGCGAGAGTCTGATTGAGTCATGCATGACACTGATGCTCTCATGGATACGTTTCCAATGCATTTTTAGTTAATTGCCAATTCGCGGTTCAACGCGCGTTAGAGGCCAAAATGAGCCGGACGCTGGCCATGACCATTTCAGCTGCAGCCCGTGTTCATTATATTGTGGTCATCAGCCACGTCGGCACTCAACACCTGTCCTGTCATGTTCATCAGGGTGCCCTTGCCACTAGTTCACATCGCGTACCTCTGGTGCAAGTGTTTCAGCTTGCAGCAAGTGACCATTGTCTGTGTATTGTCGCTGATTCCAGACACACGACTGATGTCAGTGTCCCGTCAGAGGACAGCTCTCAGAGGCCAGCGAAGCGGAGACGGCGGGGCCGCTCCCGTGTCTCGCGGCTGCGGCCCGGCCGGCTGCTGCTGGGCGGCACCATCACCGACCCTCTGAACCTCACCAGCCTGCCGCAGGCCAGCTCTCAACGGTGGGAACTGGCCACAAACAGAGACGTTACAGGATGTCTTCCGATGCAGTTTATGGTTGTACCGTTGCGTTGGTATCGCGGTGAAGTTAGCAGACCTGTTGCTCACGTCGGGGTACGATGGTCGGTGGGGTCATAAGCTAGCCATGGACTGCGTGTTCTACTGCAGACTGGTGTGTCACTCTGCAGTGGCACTGCAATGCAGCACATCATAACTGAGCTGTGACATGTTCACAGGAAAGGACGTGGCGGCCCAGCTGCTGCCACGGGGCCACCAGAGACTGTCCTTCCGGAGGCCGCCCCTGCTGTCCCAAGCGCTCCCACCACCCTCACTGCCCCCACTGCCCCCACTGCCCCTGCTACCTCCCTTGGCCCCACATCCCGGACGCCCTCAGTCATTTTGACTTCCACGATCCCCCCTGCTGCCCCGACAACCACAGCTCCGACGGTGCCCACTGCCCCCACTGTCCCTCCTGCCCGTGCCCAGTCGGCCACCTCGGGCCCCGCACCACTGGTCAAGTTCAAGCCGCAGGGTGACCGGTTCAAGTACGGGAACTACAACCGGTACTACGGCTACAGGAACGGCGCCGAGGTGGGTACTGGCCATTGCTGGGAGCGGACATGGTGGGCAGGTGGTGCCCTCGTAGAAGCGGCACTATAGTGTGTCGGGGAAAAAATGGCACAGAGACAGGATTTTGGTCGTAGAAACGAGCCAAGCAATACTGTTCAGGGTTAATGGCTTGTAATGGGCAAACATGCATGGGACACAATCGATATATATATATATATATATATATATATATATATATATATATATATATATACATATATATGCATGCATATATCACAGTAGTTTTTTTTAGAAAAAAAGGATAAAAGTGTGCCTTTTTGGACGCCATTTGCCGCTTTGCGGCGCGGCACTGTCCATCACCGTGTTTCTATTGTGAAGCATACCAGCACACTACCACTCTCTTGGTGCAGGTAGCGGGCAACAAGCCCGTTTATTGATGTGGCCTGGCAGCCCCAGTGCAGCCTGTCCGTGACCCCGCCCCACTGACGAGCGTCCTGACACTGCCCGCAGCGGGACCGGCGGCTCTGTCCGTGACCCCGCCCCACTGACGAGCGTCCTGACACTGCCCGCAGAGGGACCGGCGGCTCTGCCCGTGACCCCGCATCACTGACGAGCGTCCTGGCACTGCCCGCAGCGGGACCGGCGGCTCTGTCCGTGACCCCGCACCACTGACGAGCGTCCTGACACTGCCCGCAGCGGGACCGGCGGCTCTGTCCGTGACCCCGCATCACTGACGAGCGTCCTGACACTGCCCGCAGCGGGACCGGCGGCTCTGTCCGTGACCTGGCATCACTGACGAGCGTCCCGACACTGCCCGCAGCGGGACCGGCGGCTCTGTCCGTGACCCCGCATCACTGACGAGCGTCCTGACACTGCCCGCAGCGGGACCGGCGGCTCTGTCCGTGACCCCGCACCACTGACGAGCGTCCTGACACTGCCCGCAGCGGGACCGGCGGCTCTGTCCGTGACCCCGCACCACTGACGAGCGTCCTGACACTGCCCGCAGCGGGACCGGCGGCTCTGTCCGTGACCCCGCACCACTGACGAGCGTCCTGACACTGCCCGCAGCGGGACCGGCGGCTCTGTCCGTGACCCCCGCACCACTGACGAGCGTCCTGACACTGCCCGCAGCGGGACCGGCGGCTCTGTCTGTGACCCCGCACCACTGACGAGCGTCCTGACACTGCCCGCCAGCGGGACCGGCTGGCTCTGGCCGTGAAACACCGCACCACTGACGAGCGTCCTGACAATGCCCGCAGCGGGACCGGCGGCTCTGTCCGTGACCCCGCACCACTGACGAGCGTCTCTGACACCTGCCCGCAGCGGACCGGCGGCTCTGTCCGTGACCCGCACCACTGACGAGCGTCCTGACACCGCCCGCAGCGGGGACCGGCGGCTCGACTGCCTGCGGCCGGAGTGTTCCGCGGCCTGGACGTGCTCGACGTGGGCCTGTAACATCGGCCACATCACGCTGACAGGTGGCGCGTGAGCCTCCTGCCACGCCGCTGCGTCGGCCTTGACATCGACGCCAGTCTGGTCAAGGTGGGGCGCGGGGGACAGGTCTGCGGAGGGGGAGGGGGCGGGTCTGATCAAGGTGGGGCGCGGCAGACCGGCCGGCGGAAGAGGAAGGGGAGGGGGAGTCCGGCGCCGCTCCTGTGATGGTCAGCTGTGCTGTTGCTCTTTTCGCGGGCGGGCGGGGCACAACGTAGCGATGAGATCCGATAAGCCATGAAATCCTTTAATTTTTTGTCAGTGCGGTAGAATGCGGCTCTTTTCGGACGGCATTGACTTGTCATTCTTCTGGTTTACGTAATATTTGAGATTCTGATTGCGATAACGTCCCGGATTGCTTCAATCGTTCGTCAATCGTCAGTTCTTACACTGCAACGCGATCAGATTTAACCCTGACGTTATTGCAAAGATGTCCACTGATGTTGAAATCGGATTAGCGTCAGATGCTTACTAATCAAGCTTATTCCTTTGAAAGCTGTCATTATTAGTTATGTTCGTCGTAGGATTGAGACTTTCCTCTTTACATGGGCATTCGGCATACTTGGCCGTGCCAAATGATCACTTATCATAGCGTGGACTTGTCTCACGGCGCGTGGTCTTCGCCGTGTGCCTGGTCTCCGCCACCGCCTCGCTCCCGTCCGTCTCCGCTGCCGCATCACCCGCGTCCGCCGCCGCGCCCCAGACTGCCACCGTGGTCCGACGCCCGCTCCTCTGCCGGCAGATCGCGCGCAAGAACGTGAAGCACTACCTGCGCCCTGGCGCGGCCGGTGCGCCGCCGGCCGGCCTGACGCGGCTGTACGGCCCGCTGGCGCCCGCTCCCGCTCCCGCTCCCACTCCCGCTGCCGCTTCTGCCGCCGCCGCCGCTCCCACTCCCGCTTCCGCTCCCGCTGCCGCCGCTCCCACTCCCATTCCCGCTGCCGCCACTCCTACTCCCGCTCCCACCCCCACTCCCGCTCCCGCTCCCACTCCCGCTCCCACTCCCACCCCCACTCCCGCTCCCGCTGACGCCGCTCCCGCTCCCGCTCCCGCTCCCATTCCCGCTACCACCGCCACCGCCGCCACCGCCGCCGTCGCGCCGGACGCCGCCGCCGGCCACTTCCCCGCCAACGTCTCGTTCGTGCACGTGAGTGGCTGCGCCGCTTCATGGGTGGCGAGCGGTCGACGATCGGGCCGCCTCGGGGTCACGGCCGCTGGACGTCTGTCGCGAGGGTCACGTAGTGGCCAGGCTTGCCGGCGTGCGTCATGTCTGTGGCACACGCGGGGCCTTTGCCTCACCAGCGACGCGCAAGTGACCTTGAGGACCAGGATCCACGGCCGCATGCTTGTATCGTGTTTCACTATATACCTTGATGTGTCCTCTTTCCTTTTCACTTCTCTTGCATTTCTTACAGTGCAGCGTGAATTTAACGTTCACCCTACCGTAGCGGATGGAAAGAGCCCATTTCAGAAGGTGACCTAGTACTCACACATTGTGGGATGTAACTGTTGCCTTCAGGTCGGGCACTGTCGTGTATTAAAGGCGAGAGGATGGAACTTGTTTGTAATGCTGCGGAGCCTCACGTTTCTGGACGACGTGTGCGAGAGATCCGTGATTGCTGGACGTCAGTGTCTGTGTTGGACTCGTGATCGGATGAGTGAGCGGAGAGCTGTGCCGCTCACCTCCGTCGCACCCGCGATCGACACATGCGTCTGAAGGCTACGCTTGTCTCGTCAGTCGGCGCCCTCACCGGACCTCCGTCGGCCCACAGGCCAACTTCGTGCTGGAGTCGGACGCGCTGCTGGAGACGGTGCGGCCCGAGTTCGACACCATCCTCTGTCTGAGCATTACCAAGTGGGTGCACCTGAACTTCGGCGACGCCGGCATGCGACGCTTCTTCCGGCGGGCGTTCCTGAGCCTGCGGCCGGGCGGCCGACTGCTGCTCGAGCCGCAGCCCTGGGCCAGCTACGTCAAGAAGAAGAAGCTGACAGTGAGTTTGTCAACGCCGCCGTCTGGCGCCAAGTCCTTGCCGAGATGCGGCGGGGCGCGATGCTGTATCAGTATTTTGTTTTCAAGTTCACCTGGTTTCTTCTTCCTGCGCGTACCGTCTGTGTCGAAAATCGGTGCGTGTTGTGCCCTTGGTGTTGTGTAGGCTTTGTCCTCCGGTGCTGGCTTTTCAAAGCCCTCGTTTCCTCCAGTTTGCGCGCTTGTCATATCCCATCCGCGTGCTGACGGGCTGACTGCTGCGTCGGCAGCCGCGTATCTGGACGACGTTCCAGCAGATCCAGCTACTGCCCGAGCGGTTCCCGCAGCTACTGGTGGACGAGATTGGCTTCCTGCCGTGCCAGCTGCTCGGGCGACCACAGCACGCCGCCAACGGCTTTAACCGCCAGCTGCAGCTGTTTACCAAGGCAAGTCACCGGCTGCGGTCGGTCGCTGAGCCTTGCCACACTGCAGCTGTTCATGAGCCGTTGCAGTCAGCTGTCCGGCGAAAAGTCCCCGGGAAGTCGGCGTGCCTCCCGTTCAGCTGCGTTAGACCGCCCGCGGGCTGGCACAGGTGGTTTGGTGTGACACTTTGTTCATTGGGTGGGCTCGCTGCCCGCATCTGTTTTGTTCGTCACGTGCTCGTGGATGTGTGGCTGATTTCTCCCCACTCGAGAACAATCAGCATGAGCTGCCGCTAGTGGAGGCCATTCAGAGAGCGGTGGGTAAATTTTAATGTCTGCTGCGGAGGGTAAATGCGTCGGGTATTTTTAGGACAAATGGTGTTTTTGGTTTTATGTCGCACGATTTCCTGCAATGCATGTGATCATACCCGTGTGCTTTATCGTTCCAGCCCGGCGGAGTTACCACAGTGGCTGCTCACCAGCGCAAGGCCGCCGCCTCGCCAGCCGACCCAGCAGTCCCAGACGGTAGTCCCAGGAGCTCCCAGACGGCGGATCACGCGCAGCCAGCGGCGAGCACGTCAGAAAACCCGCCGGCGAGCGGCTCTCAGACACGTGCGGCTCTCTGATTGGCTGCCTGAACTGACCCGAACACGGGTCACCAGCCGCGCGGCGTCGGAGATCGCGCGCCGGGGTGCGTGGCGCTGGCCACAGCGGGGCCGGCCTCTGTGAACTCTCAGGGCCGCCGTGGATTCGGAGCCGGCTGTGACATCGCGACATGCCTCGTGGGGTGGAGGCGCGTGTGAAGCCGAGCAGGACGGGTTAGAAACGAGACGTTGGAACAGCGCAGGGTGGCGACGGTGACGAAAAGTGGCACCTCAAGTGATGTTGATGCGGTGGGCTACGGCCTTTGTGCTGAGTGCGGCGCGTGCGTGTTGTGCCAGAAGCCAGCCTATCATTGGTTCGAAGACGCTTAGTTCTGTGCTCCCGGGGGGCATCTGTGATGAAGATCGTCTCAGCTCCTCGCCGTGATAATTTCGTAAATAAACCGTATTCACTCGGACTGTACAAACCTACAGATAGCTGCTATCGCGTACCGAACCACTGCCTGTCCTCTTGTGCCAGGCCAGGTGTGCAGCCGGGGCGGGGATGGGCTGTCGCGCTCCCTGGAGGTTAGTTGGCCGCGAGGACAGGCTCGGTGGGAGGGATCGGTGTCGATGGTCAACCTTTGGTGAAGCCGACCTGCCCCGTGGAGGTGCGGTCCACCCGACACCTCGCATGCACGCGACTACGAGAAAAGGCGGACGGCGGAGATCGGGCCTTCAGCCCAGTCCAGTCCTCGGGCCACCGGTCGTCGTGCGGCACTGTGAGCTGCCTGCCGCGGCTGGATGTCACCGGAGGCTATCGGAGGCGGTGGACGGGGAACTGCAAACACACCGGGCCGGCACATCCCTGATCAAACAAGCTGCCGATACGCTTGTGGACGGAGTGGAGATATACACCGCCGCGTGGCCACGGGGTCCTGGCGTCACATGGTCCCGCGTGTCGCCGAGTCCGATGATATCGGTGCCACCGGGAGCGTGCGGTCCGTGGGCCCGGCTGCTGCCTACCGAAATGGCGGGGTTTCTCAATACATGGTGCCAGTGCCACTGGCGGATTCAGTATGGGAATCTTCGGAGTCCGTTCGAGGTTCATGTTTGGACTTGTATCAAATTGAATACGCCCAAACAAAAAGGCCAAGTTCGGTATCTTTCATCATCTTGAGAGAGGGAGTCCCCCTCCGCGTGGTCCCTCTGGGTCTGCCCTTAAACTGCACCATGGGCACGAACACTGACACCGACCGGCCAATGGCCCCAGCGGGCTGTGTCATTCCCGCTGCCGTTGGCGTCTATCAATGCATTGCATGCCGACGACGTGCGCTGTAGCTGGCGGAGCGCCGGCGGTGCCTAGCGCTCAACGGCCCCGCTGTACTGCAGTCAGGTCCGGCTGAGGAGCAGCCGTTTGCGAGCACGGCGCACGGGGAAGGGATGTACGCGAGAGACCTCCGTGTCTGCTCATTCGTTTAAGCAGACGTCTTGGAAGTGACCCTGGCTTACGAGGTGCAGGGTGGACCTGGTTCCCCCGGGGAAAAGACCGGCGCAGGAGGACCGTGTGTAGGATCAGTTTCCGTTTTCCCAAGACCGGGCTTGTTAGGTACGTGACTTCGACGCGCCGTTGCGCTGTAGCTGACGCCAATAATTTAAGCTGATATTCGCAGGCTTGTCACTTGGACTATGTTCTTAATGTTGCAGCCGGGCTGTTGCGGGCAGTGAGAAGCGAAGCTGACTCTCGCTATTTAGCCTGCCGTTGGAGACATGCTCTGGAGGACACAGCTGCGGAAACGGATGCGCCGGTGATCAGCTCGTCTTTTTTCGCCGCACGCATGTGATGCAGGGGAATATTACACACAACGGGCAACGGCGATGCTCGCTTGGTCCCGGTGGTATTGTAGCCAACGAACCTAGCAGTTTCTAAAGACCCTCAATCTATTTTCCAGGCTTTATTGGTGCAAATTCGACCCTAATCAAACATAAGAAGTCTTTAATCAGCTGTCTCAGATTACAGGACACGGAACTGTTCTAAAAAACAATTAGACAATCTTACCAAAGAAAACAGGTGGCAGTTTCCGAGTTTCCCAAACGAAAGCGTGCAGAGCGGCTATCGCCAGCCCAAACTGGAGCGCGGACACCATACAGTTTTGCAAATTGCGCCGCACACAAACATTCCAGTGAAAAAATTTATTCATGATTGACGACTACGGTTCACAATCTCATACGATCCAGCTGGTTGTGTATGCGTAACGCAACGCGTTGTCTCGGCGAGGCGCCGGTACAACGGAGCACACTCGAACACTTCGGTCCACCCGAACACACTTAGAGGCAGCTAACGAGACCCCGGTCCCCACGCTGGACCCGACCGCCACTCTGCACGGTGGACGCGGCCCGCGCCGGCGCCACCGCGCTGCGCCGCGCGCTAAAGTCATACGTAAACAATGGACAAATGGGGCGACACGCGCCCGGTTAGGTTCATATTGTCATCTACCTCCCGACGCCCGGCGGCAGGCACCTGGCGCCTCCGCCACTGTCTGACCTCGCCGGCTGCCGGGCGCAGTCACGAGCCGTCTTCTAACGGCGGCGCGGCGGGCGTTCGGCTCCCGCCGGCGGCAGTCAGTCCGCGGAGGAGCACTCCACGGCGCTGGCGTCACCGGAGCGTCTCACGGGCTGGGCGCAGCGTCCGCCAGTCGGCGCCACCAGCGCGCCCCGGAGCCGGCCCGCTCGCGCCGCCGCGCCCTCGCACCACTAGCGGCCCGGTCCCACACGCGCCGCGGCTAGCCTACGTAATGCAATCACAATCTGCGGCCGGGCGAGGCGGGCGGCCTCGGTCGGTCCCGCGCCGGGCGGCCGCACGTAGCCCGCGTCTGTGCTGCCGGCGCCCGCGGCAGGCGCGCGGCGCGCGCCGGCGTGCATTATGGCTGGAAGAGGGCGTCGATGTTGGCGAAGGCACAGGCGCCGAGGCCGGCGCGGGCCATGAGCGCCACCAGCTCCTTGCTGTGTGAGAGGGCGACCTCGAGCGGCGGCCGGCGCGGCAGGTTATGCGAGCCTGCGGAACACGCGGCGCCGGCCGTCAGCGCACGGGAAACAATGGCTGTCAGCACGCGGGAAACCTCGGCTGTCAGCACGCGGGAAACACCAGCCAACAGCACACGGGGAAACACCGGCTGTCTGCACGCGGGAAACACCAGCCGTCAGCACGCGGGAAACGCTGGCCGTCAACACACGGGAAACACCGACCGTCAGCAGGCGGGAAACACCGACCGTCAGCGCACGGGAAACACCGACCGTCAGCACGCGGGAAACACTGGCTGTCAACACACGGGAAACACCAGCCGACAGCACAAGGGAGACACCGGCCGTCAGCACGCGGGGGAACACTGGCTGTCAGCACGCGGGAAACACCAGCTGACAGCACACGGGGAAACACCGACCGTCAGCACACGGGGAGGCACTGGCTGTCAGCACGCGGGAAACACCAGCTGACAGCACGCGGGAAACACCGGCCGACAGCACAAGGGAGACACTGGCTGTCTGCACGCGGGAAGCACCAGCTGACAGCACGCGGGAAACACCGGCCGTCAGCACAAGGGAGACACCGGCCGTACACGGGAACGGGTGGCCAACGGCTGTGTCAGCGGGACTGTACAGCGGACCGCCACGGCCACGTTGCACGTGGAGTTTGGCACAACGTGCGAGACGACGTGCTTCAAAACGCAGCATCGCTAGACGATACCGTTTGTACAAGGCATAGATCGACGGTTAAATCGCTGACTCCACATGGCATAGTCAAGACGGTTGTTCAGGTCGAGGAAAATCCTGCCCGTTAGTCAACTCTCCGATGACAGCTCCAAACAGCACAGCTATTACGAACTATCATGGGAGTGCGTACTATCGATCTATTTCCAATTCATATACCTTATAATTTCGAACCCAATTGCAGCTAGAACATTCCAAGTCACAATGCGCACATGGCTCAACATCCAGTCCCAAATGACTTTCCTCAGGACCAGAGAACACCTGACAATGAAAAGGCAAATGCTGTGCCACGAATAGGCGTTAATAAATACTTTTAACGTTACAAGAATGAGCAAATTATCAAGAATGTCGCCTCCCCATTAATCCACCCGCACATGCAGCACCAGCGCACGCCCTCGGACTTCCCGTCAGCTATATACATCACGGATATCCTTCCTTTCGTCTCATCACCCCTGGCATGCAACTATGCCATGCAATCACATCAACGCATTTCTCTCCACGTCCAAACCCTTCTAGTGAGCGCGCTCGTGTTTTGATCATAAGTTACGATACACCGCTATGAAAAGCGACACGACAACGGCGAGTCAGCGGTCGGCGCTCGGCCGAGCAGCTGTGAGCTCCAGTGAGAGGCCGGCCAGCTCGGCGCCAGCACAGTGTGCCGTGTGCGTGTGCGGCAGTTACTCAGAATGGCCGAGTTGAGGGCGGCGCAGACCGACTCGCGCTGCACGGGGTCCAGCTGCCACTTGACCGGGCTGCTCCACGGGTCAGCGTACGCCAGCAGGCTGAAGGCGTCCTGCCGGCAGCGCACGAGCAGGCGCGTCACTGCTCCGGCCGCACACTCAGCGGCTGGACACGGCAGGGGCCGACAGAAGCCGGTCACACGCGCGCGCGTCACCGCTCCGGCCCGCACACTCAGCGGCTGGACACAGCAGGGGCCGACAGAAGCCGGTCACACGCACGCGCGTCACCGCTCCGGCCCGCACACTCAGCGGCAAGACACGGCAGCGGCCGACCGAAGCCGGACACACGAGCGCGCGTCACCGAGCCGCGACGGGGACTCAAACCGCACACCGAGGGCCGGGTGGTGATGACTTCCGACAACCGGATACAGCCACGGTCAGAGTCGGCAGACGGGCCTCCGGCGGGCGCAGCGCTTCCTACAGGCCAGGAGTGAGCACTCCGCGGAGCACTTCTCACCGGGGAACACTCCGTACACTCCGAGATCAGGTCACTCATCAGAAACCTCTGATCCATATTCGAACACAAAACCACGGCCACATGAATGTATCGAAGGTATCCCTTACCCATATCAAACGGAACTCGACGCAGTCGATCTTCCCAGCCCCAACGCCCGGTGCTTCTGGTTCCAAACACACCGCTACTTGACAATCGACGCCCGCACGGGGCTGCCGGTGGTCAGCCGCGGTTGTCGCGGTCTTGACCCCGCCGCCGCCTACCTGCAGCAAGTTCTTGTTGTAGTCGCTCTCGCCCTGCTCGCTACGCAGCCGCAGGTAGAACAGCTGCAGCTCGCGGCCAAACTTCAGCACCTTCTCCACGGCGGTGTTGCTGCCGCCGCACAGCGCCCGCTTCTTGGCGGTCGACTCGACCTCGGCGGGCCGGTCCACGTCTGATCGGACAGGGCACAGACGGCGGCGAGGGTTACACAGCGCCCGCTTCTTAACGGCCGACTCGACCTCGGC